ATATATATATATATATATATATATATATATATATAAAAGGAAAAATACGGCTGTTACTTACAATTGGAACTAACAGTAAAGTCAAAAGCTATATCGAGAATACCACTGAAAGTTACCGAAGGCTTCAATTTTTGTGATGTACCATCAGATCTGGAGACAGGAATACTTAACCCAGTCCGTTTATCAGTTTTCATGAGAATACGCGTGTGACTGCTCTCCGATGTGGAAGCTTCGTCACCAACACCTTGTAAACGTTTCCGCAGCTTTTCGGCCAATTCCTACATCAGTAAGACAACAACAATGAATACAGAAGCAAGTAAATTAGCTGATCTCAAAAGAAGTATCTAGTGGCTTTCACAATCAAAGATATAATTTTTTATTTAAAAAAGCACTGAAACAAAAGTCTCACTAACCAAATTTCCTTTCATTTCTGCTTTTAAAATTCTAGCTTCCAGCCTGTTCCTTTCATCTGTCGATAATGAGCCTTCAGGGGTCGCACAACTCTCTGCACTGTTATTAATATTATTTCCTGAAAAGTGACATTTGGCTTTACAAGTTCATTTTTCCTTCTAGTGAAGTTGCTGAGAAGAACAAACGGGATGTAACTCACCGCTCAGTTGTGCTTGAGATTCTTCGCTGCCAACAACAAAATCTTTTCCAACACCAAGATCCCCTAATTTGCGTGCAATTCGTTGTTTAATCGGTTTTGCATGAACAACTTTTTGCTTTTCTTCACCGTAATAATAATCATCAGATGGTTTTCGGAACACAGTTCCACGTTTCATACCAATTGTATTTATGAAAAGTCAATAATCTAGAAAAAATTTTGAAAAATTTTTTTAACGTTCAATGCATAGCTTCAATAATGAATTATCCCGGTTACCGAATTAAATAAGACGAAAATAAACAAATGAACAACGTATTAAAACTAAAAGAAGTAAGAAGATCGAAAAGTGTATTATTGTCAACTGTACATCGGCCAAATTTATTCTATATATCTTTAAAAAAAAAAATTTAGTATCATAAGGCTGTTACTAACGAAAAGTAGAAAAATTGGTTGGTTGCCAATTTTCCACTATTTAATTGGAGCTAGTATAATGGATGGATTGTAGGTTTATTACCGAGGTGTGTTATGCATTTCAAGAGTCGTTGGTATCCGCCGTCTAACAGTTTAGTGATATATACTTATACACATATGTTTCTGTTCTCAGAGTATTCCGTTAATTTGTTAGTACAATTTTTTACGGATACGGTTTTGATAACTAGACTTCATGTACTTTCATTATGAGAACGCACTTTCCGCTGTCACTGCCTCTTTAGCTTGGTCTTACCTCACCAAACGAATTAACGCAGGGCTCTTTCAATATGGAGGCCC